TAATAAATGACTGGTTTTACAGGGTTTCCAATTATGTTTTTTAACACTCACGAACTCGCGAAAGGTGAGTGGTTTTTGGAATTTATAAGTCACAAAATCATCTTCTAGCTCTAGCATATATTTGCAAGTGAGCATAAATTTCCTCCAGTAGAAAGTTGCTGTTGAAGAATTTTGTGGCAAAAAATGCATGCATAGATTTATTCTTTCAAGAAAGAAAGTGGCTGTGCGTAGAACCTAATAAGTGCATTTTATCTACATGTTTACACTGTACTTGGTAAACAAAGGGGGGGGGGGGGCGGACCCGTGACGGCACCCTTTTTAACCCCCTTTATTTTATGAAAAAAAAACCCACCAAAACCCATCCATTTTTCTTCTTATTGGGCGCTGTTAGTTTTTAAAATTTTTTTAAAAAAAAAAATAATTTTTTGTCCCTCACTAGGGGTGTGGGGGGGAAACAAAAAAACCCCGTAGGGGAGTGGTGGGGGTTTTTTTCTCTTTTTTGGGAAAAAAAAAAAAAAAAAACCTCCCCCCCCCCCCCCCCCCCCCCGCCCCCAAAAAAATCTAGTGCAAGCTTAAGATCCAGTTACATGTTTTCTCACTTTTTTAGATCTTTTTAGTTATCAATATATAATCTAGACTAAAAATATCATAAAAAACCGTTACTGCCAATTATCTACAAAGCACATGTACCTGATAAGACATATTGCGCATCAGGAGAGAAACACACTTCTACTGGAGATGTTCTTGAAACAGAGTGTCCCTATAATATAGAAAGGTGACTGTACACATTAGAGGTTTCTACTGCTCATTCATATGAGCTCCTAAGGGTTCATTCTTCAAACTTGTATATTTGTTCATCAAAACCTTTGGTGCATTTAATAGATGAATACCAGGTAAGATTCTTATTCATCATAAGATTACTTTCTTAGGATTTGTTATAAAGAAAATTGGTGAGAAAACTAGCATGCCTCATTTTTTAACAGGTATACTTTTCTTCAGTTCTACACTAAAGAAACACAAGGATAACGTTCCATTAGGATGATCTGTATCAGGATCAGTAATCCAAGATCACTTGGTTTGTAGCAAATCAAGGGAACCAACGATCCTACCCTGGAGAAGGATTCATTGGTTCATTTGACTTGTTATGACCCAAGCAATCTCTGATCACTGATCTTCATCAGGATCATCCCAAAGGAACACACCCTAAAAAATATTATGAAAATGAAGAAATGATCGTCGCAGTGAACGCAATTTATGCAATTGCGTGAAGAAGC